GAGAGAGACGGAGAGACAGAGAGATTGATTCAGACACACAAAGGGCTTCCTGCGTCTTACTGCTTTGGAAATAATCTTTATGTAACAGTCTAATCACGTTACAAAACTTTACCCTAAAATATCATTATAGCTTTAGATTACATCTTCTACCCAAACATGTTTAACTTTTTAAGGTTCTTGCTATGGTAATAAGTCTTAATTGTCAAAGATTTTATTAAAATCTTTTTGCTTACATTTTCTTCTAATGTTTTTATTTTTAAAAAATTAGCTCTTTAGGGGGCTGGGGTTGGGGCTCAGCAGTAGAGCGTTCACCTAGCACAGGCGGGACCCGGGTTTGATCCTCAGCACCACACAAAAATAAAGGCATTGTGTTGTGTCCATCTACACCAAAAAAATAAACATTTTTTTTTTTTATTAGCTCTTTAGGGCTGGGGTTGTGGCTCAGTGGCAGAGCACTTGCCTCATACATGTGAGGCACTGGGTTTGATCCTCAGCACCACATAAAAATAAGCAAACAAAATAAAGATATTATGTCCATGTATAACTAAAAAAATATTTTTAAAAAATTAACTCTTTGGGGCTGGGCTTGTGGCTCAGTGGTAGAGCGCTTGCCTAGCATATGTCAGACCCTGGTTCAATTTTCGGCACCAAGTAAAAATAAATAAATAAAGGTATAAAAATTTTGAAAGAATTTTTTAAAAATTAGCTCTTTATTTCATCTGGCATTTAATGTGGTATAACTAAGATGAGTGTTTTCCAAATGACGGCTATTATACTCAATTCATGTCATCTTTAGATTAACTCTGGGTTCAATTCTGTTTCCTTGATATAGTTATCTACTTATGTGCCAGTTCCACACATTTTAATCCAATGGATCATGTATCATGATTTACTTAGGTAAGTCCACCTGCATTGTTCTCACAAATAAACTGCAAAACTATTTGGGCATGTTTCAAGAATATTCCCATTGCAGTTCTGCTACAGTTATAGATTTGGGGGAAGCTGACATATTTATATTAGTGTTTCTAACTATACAATAATAAAAATCATGCTCCATCCTTTTCATTAATGATGCTATTTATTCAATTTCCTTATCTACCTAACATTTCCAAAATAATGCCAAATACTAATAAGAACAAACCTCTTTGACCACTTCCTAACTTCAGTAAGCATTTCCAGTATGTGATCATCAATAAGCATAATACTGTCTACTAGTGTGAAATATGTGTTTTCAAGTACATTTATTGTGCTATTGTTTATTTAAAAGAGTATATAAAATATCATTCAATTATTACTTTATTAAGAGTTTATTTGAACTGATTGTCAAAATACATAACATTTTACAATAGCCAACAAACACCATGAGATTCTCTTTTCCTTTCACCTAAAACAAATAAAATTATGTATTAAGTCATCCTATCATTCCTGAAATAAACTCCTTTTGGTCATGTAGTATTTTCCTTTATCATAATGCTAACCCTATCTGCTAATATTTTATTATAATGTTCATATCTAAATACATAAGCAAAACTGGTTTGAAGGAGTTCGACATTGTGGTTTCCTTTATTTTTCTACATGGGTCTCACTATGTTGCCCAGGCTGACCTCAAATCCTGGGCTCAAGTAATCCTCCTGCCTCAGCTTCCTGAGTAGTTGGGACTACAGGTGCATATAATAACATAACCTTGGAGGTTTGGTTTTGACCTTTATCCATTTTGGGAGGAGAGAGTTATCCTTCTTTCTTTAAATAGATTTAATTATCTCTGCCAATATTTCAATTTATTCAACAAGCATTTATTAACAAATACTGTGGACTTGTCAGACACTGGCACTATACACATAAAAAATGATTTGTGTTCCCATAAAACTCATATGTTGAAATCCTAATCCTCAGTGTGATGGTATGAGGAAAAGGGGTTAATTAGGCTTTGAGGATAATCCTATTCATGGGATTAGTGCCCTTATAAAGGGGACCTCTCTTGCCCTTTGTCACCATGTGAGAAGGAGGTCACAGGGAGATGACAGCAGTCTAAGAGAGAGGAAACAGGTCCTCATCAGACACTTGTACCTTGATCTTGGACTCTCCAACCTCCAGAACTGTAAGAAACAAGTGTTGCTGTAAAAGCCACCCACTCTATAGTAATCTTTGTCATAGCAGCCAAGACTAAGAAAATATATAACCCTGGTGCAAAATATTATGTGAACAACAATAAAGAAATACATACGGAAGTGTACATATGTATGATCTATATCTATCTATCTATATATATACACACATATATATATATATATATATATATATATATATACCAAAGCTACACAGGGAGACTTCACAGAATTGAAACCTAAAAATCTTAAAGGCAAGTATGAGAAACAGAAAGGAGAATAAATATTCCAAAACTTTTTTGTGAAGAAATCATTTACACTTGCTCTCCAATAATTGTAAATAGTATGTTTACATTTCCTATAAGATGATGCTATGTTACTAATGGCAACCTGAAATTGTGTATTGGTATGATTATTAGCAAGGCCTACATTTCTTCCCACATTATGTACATAAGACTTAGTATTTGTAGATTTTCTTGTTTTTAAAAACTCATCCTTAATTCTTGGGTTTTCCCATTACTCTTTCAAATTTACCGTATTTCTTATTGTTCCCTGCCAAATAACACTGTGGCTTTCTACAATCTTTAGCTATTCAGCATTTATGAACTCCAAAACTCAAAGAACTAGCACAGGCTGAAATATTTAGAACAAGACAAGCAGCAAAAATTTAACATTCACATTTCATCATGATGCTGGTATAGTTTTCATGTTGCATGGTCTCTTTGAGATTATGAGAATTTCTTCAACACTGATCTACAGCCAGGCTCTGAGCTATCTTATTAAATTATAAAGTCTTGAATGTAAACTGAAAGAAACTCAAGATTTTTTGTAACATGGTATCTGACAGAAAGTCTCCTCAGACAATACATTATGGTAATTTGAAGAGTGCAGTATGTACATAGCTGAGATTAATCGTAAAATAGTACATTTTGCTTGTAGTATAAACTGGCCCAACCACTCTAGAGGACAAGTGTATTGAAATTTTGAAAATGTACACACCATTTAAGCAAATTTCTTTCTATGAATTTACCCACCCCCCCAAAAAAAATTGAAAAACATACATGGATATATAGTTAAGAACATTCATTCAGTGCATCAGTGTTTTATAATACTGAAAATTGCAAATTTTCAACAGGAAAAGATGTTCAAATAAATGCAATGAAATATTATGAATTTATGTGAAATTACCAAAATCTGTAAGAAATGATGGAGAGAGATGGACAAGGCAATTTATGGAAAAAAAAATAAGATATCATATTATGCTTAGTTGTACTAAAACAGCAGGCATTAGTTAAATGTATATACTAATAAAAATTTTATTTATCTATAAAAGTTACATTTAAATAAATTTAAAATTAAGTTCCTCAGTCACACTAGCCACATTTCAACCGCTTAAAGAGCCACATGCAGCTATTGGCTACCATTTCTGACAGAGCAGATATGGAATATTTCCACCATTATAGAAGTAAGACTGAATAGAAAAAGAAACAGAAATAATGAAAGAAATATATGTAGGAAAAAAATGACTGCAGTGACTCAGAAGTATGAAACATGAGGATTACAAATTGGAAGCCAACCTGGGCAACTCAGATTCTGAATCAAAATAAAACATAACAAGGTCTTGGAATATAGCTTAGTGGCAGAGCACCTCTGGGTTCAATCCAGTACAGGGGAGAAAAAAACTGGAAACATTTAAACAACAAATAACAACTTTTAGTTTTTAAGTTTTTGCTAATCTTATTTTCTAAATTTAAAAATAATCAACTACAATGGATTTTCTATGTACTAAAATCAAATTTTTTAAAAAACAATGAAATTTTTAGAAAATAAAATGCCCCAGCTATAAATAAAGATTGCAGATTAATTTTTTTCTTTTTTTTACAAAAGGGGAAATTATGGAACAAACTACAAACTTAGAGAAGTATTTTTTCAATTACTACTTTGCTGCTTTGAAAATGTCTTTTTAAAAAATATTTTTTAATTGTCAATGGACCTTTATTTTCTATTTATTTATATGTGGTACTGAGAATCAAACCCAGTGCCTCACACATGCTAGGCAAGCACACTATCACTGACCCACAATCCCAGCCCATATATCATTTTTTTAAATCTCTTTCTTTGCAATTTATTTAAAAAGGGATTACTGAGACCCACTAACAAAGTTTGGGGATTTTGCCCTGTATCCAAATGTGAGTTATCTTAAATCTGACCATAAGTTATTATAGCTATTAATTTATTTTAACGTAAGATGAATTCTTCTTATGCTTCCTTAAAATGAAGCATTACCTAGAAAAATGAAAAAATATCAATAGTCACACAGATCAGCTCAAATCTGAGTTTCCTCTCAAAAAATAAGTAAGAGTGTGTCTCTATGTCATTCTTTCCATCTGAGCCTCCATGGTAGCAAATGATTTTTATCTCACATCTTTTATAGCAAGGCAACAGTTTCCATGGAAACCACAAGGCAAACATCCACTACTGCTTCCAAGGACATTGTAAATACACGTAAACTAAGGTAACAGCTTACTTTCTCTTATTAATATTTTAAAATTCAACAATAGTTAGTTACTGCTTTTGTTGTGTTGTCTCTGTGAATAAATCTATAGGTAAGTAATTCTATGCCCCTCAAGCATCAACCAGCCTCTAGAAATCAGGTATGTGTGCAGTGAAGGGCAGGAGGTTCCAGAAAGCTGTGCAGCCAGTATGTATTCCAGATGATGTCATCTCTTACAAGACAGCAAATCAGAATGGAAATCAGTGAAGCACTTTAACAAAAAAGACAAAACCCCCTTCCAATAGCATGGTAGAGCATATAAATTTAACTAGGCCAAGAAGCTGATTAAAATAAGGGGGAAAAGGCAAAAATAAATCACAACCGAAGAAGTAGTCACTCACCTCTCTCAACATATTGTTTTCTTTTTCCTTCTGTTCCAAAAGGCTTTCTAGGTGGTGGACATGCATCTCTGCCTCTGCCAGCCGTCTTGTTCTTTCATGGTCTTCCTCAGTAGCCTTGGCAGACAGACCTTTGCTCTGCAACATCTCCAAAAGCTTCTTAATGGACTCATCCCGAGCATTTAAGGTTTGCTTCTGCGTCTCAATACGAAGCTCCATTTCCTCCAGGGTCTTTCGTAGAAGGAACAGCTCTTTGGCCTGCCGCTCATGCTCAGCATGCAGCCTCTGGAAGTTCTCTTCTGTCAGCTCTGCTACACAAGGTTCACCTGTCCTACTGCTACTGTCTTGCTGAAACAACTGATTCAGGTCCCTCTGGATCCGCAATTCATCCTGGAGAGCCTGGATTGTCATCTGCATGTGCTAGAACCAAGACAAAAAGAAAAACCCAAATCAGCTTTCCCCCTCAAGTAGCAAAAACAGAGCAGCTTGGGAGGAGCTGAAAATAGCTACAAGGTCTGCCTTCAGCAAATCAGGATTCAACTTATTCTGTTTTATAGTTTCTTTAAAAACAACTGAGATAATCTGCAAAATGTCAGTAATTCAACTTGCATTTACTCTCAACATGAAGTATTCTACCACTGAGCCACATCGATAGCCCTTTTTATTTTGAGACAGGGTCTTGCTACATTGCCAAACTGACCTCAAACTGCTCAGCCTTCTGAGTCATTGGGATTACAGGTGTATGACACTGCAACCGGCTCCAACATGTGTACTATTAATTTCGATTTTACTGACAAGGACACTGAGCTTAGGGAGGTTTAAGTAACCTAAGAACACATGGTGACAGAACTGGCTTCAGAGAATCAGTATCTTAATACATCTTTTTTTTTTTTAGATCTATTTTTTAGTTATAGGTGGACATAATATCTTTATTTTTATGTGGTGCTGAGGATCAAACCCAGTGCTTCACACATGTTAGCTAGTTAATACATCTTTTTATTGAGAATCTTGATCTTCTACAGTTGTTAAAAATCTTTAAAATATGCTGGCATTTAAATGCACTTTAAGAATCATATTCATAAATTAAAATTAAAATACCTAATAATTTATTATAAGTTTATTCTTAGTAAGAAAAAGTAGTGCTTTTTAAGCATTAGAAGACTACTTGCTAATAAAATAATACCCCAGCTGGAAACTATTTTAAAAAGCTGATGTCTTTGCATTAAAAACAAAAAACTGGGGGTTGGGGTTGTTGCTCTGTCACAGAGCACTTGCTTATTGTGCCAAGGCCTGGTTTCAAGCTTCCAACCCAGTACTGCAAAAAATAAATAATATCCTCTAACCCTCCCCCATTCTTCCCTTTAAAAGTCACCATAAACATTGTGAAAAGAAAAATTAAAAGAGTTCAAAAAATATTTGTAACATACACAGGAAGTAAAGATTATTTTCCTAACATAAAGATGTCTTAAAATAGATTTTTTAAAAAATGGCCCAGTAATAAAATGGGGAAGGATAAGAACAGCTGAGTCACAAAAGGGAATACATAGTGCTAGTAGATATGTAAATAGATACAATAAAATAAATGTAAAAAAATAAAAGAAAAAAGAAATTAAAATAACCAGCCAAAAGTATGGGGAAATGAGACTGAGTGCTGTGGTACAGGCCTGTAATCCCAGCTGCTCAGAAGGCTGAGGTGAGAGGATGGCAAGTTCAAAGCCAGCCTCAACAACTTAGTGAGACCCTGTCTCAAAATAAAAAATAAACAGGGCTGAGGTTAAGTGGCTCAGTACTTAAGTGCCCTTGGGTTCAGTCCCCAGCAATCACCCCCATGCACCCCGCTCCAAAAAAAAGAATGGGGAAATGAAATGGTTATTTCTAGACATTGCATGGTGGAAGTTTAAATCTGTACAGGTACTTTGAGAAATAATTTGTATGTCCAAATTGAAATTGTGCATACTTTTAATCCATCATTTACATCTTTGCCAATTTATCCTCAGGAAGAGTTTGGATATGTGTACAAAGATAGGTGTACAAAAGTACCATTCACAATAGTGAAGAATATTTATTAGTAGTTATAAATAAATAATTTAATATCCGTAAGTAGAATTTTATGCAAATATCTTCCCAATTTTTTATTGAGGTAAAATACATATAGCATAATATTTATCATCTTAACTATATTCAAGTATGCAGTTTAGTGGCATTAAGTACATTTATATTGCTATAAAATCATCACTACCATCCAACTTGCAAAATTGAGATTCTATACCAATTACACTAGAACTACTCATTCCCTTCTCCTCTTAGCCTTCTAGCAGCACTATTCTACTTTCTATTTTCATAAATTTGACTATTCTAGACAATCATGGAAGTGGAATCTATAGTTTGTGTCTATGATTGTATCTCATTTCACTTAGCCTAATGTCCTCAAGGTTCATCTGTGTTGTGGCATATATCATAATTTTTTCCTTTTTAAGGCTGAAAAACATGTAGGCATTTTTAAAAAATATTTTTGAATGAGTAAAATACATTCATATGACTCAAAAATTGAAGAGTTGAGAGGAGAAGGAGATGGGGTGTGACAGCTAATGGTCAAGGATTATTGGTGACAAAATGTTCTAGAAGTAGGTAGGGTGATTGGTGTAAAACATTTAATACGCCGAAAGCCACTGAATTGTATACTTTGAACCGGTGAACTTTATGGTATGGGAATTCATATCTTAAAAAGCTGTTTTTAAAAAAAAAGCTCAAGAGGAATAAAATAAGTATATTAAAATGTTTTTAGAAATTTCCCCTCAATTATTCTAGTTTTTTAAAAAATGAAAATTACTTGGGGGGGGCTGGGTCTGTGGCTCAGTGGTATAGAGTACTTGCCTAGCACAAGTTAGGCACTAGATTCGATCCTCAGCATCACATGAAAATAAATAAACAAAATAAAAATATTGTGTCTATCTATAACTAAATAAAATAAAAATATTTTTTTAGTTGTAGATGAACATAGTACCTTTATTTTATTTATTTATTTTTATGTGGTGCTAAGAATCAAACCCAGGGTCTTGCATGTGCTAGGTGAGTGCTCTACCACTGAGCCACAACCCTAGCCCTGTATACTCATTTTAAAATCAAAATTTGGATCATCCTATACTTGTAAGGCATGTGCTCTACCACTGAGCTACAGCCTTAGCCCCTATAATCTGCGTTTTTATACTTAAAGATTATATATTGTGACCAGAGACTTTGTTAATAAATATAAACCTAAATTGTTCTTAATTTATGCAAAGTATTAAATTCTGTAGACTAGTTTCTTTCAGTGGACTGTGAGGACTATTTTGGTTTGAGTGCCAGTTCTGTCACCATGTAATTCTCTGAAGCCTAGTTTCTTTCTTTACCCTCCAAAGTTACTTTTCTTAGTGAATTTATGCAAAAAAAAAAATGAGAAGTTCAATGAGAAAACTGATTTCTAGGTATAACCATTCCTCCTTTTTTGAATATTTATCATTAATTCACAGAAGCCAGGAGAAGTATATGTTGGCTAAGGCTAATAGTGTCACACATTGACACATGATTAAATCTAGCGTGGCAATTTTTTGATGAAGAAAATACAAACTACTGATGTGTCTATGAAGCTCTGCTCCCACCCAGTTCACTATAAATTTAAAACAATGCTCTGATGGGTGGCCTAGTAGGCAATTTTCTCCACTGAATACAAATCAGCATTCTCTCTTTAGGCTACAATCACGCTAGATTTATAAAAATTCCTGCCAACTGCTTTGGAAGATAAAAAAAGAAGTAGGCTAAAAGCCAGGCTACTCCTTCTCCAGCATATTCACAAGAAGATAAAATGAGCATACTCACAAACTTCATATACATTTAAACAGATTCACTGATTTTAGTGGAAAGATCTCGTAGGAGAATTTCTACTCCAGAATTCTGCTCCTGACATTGCAAAATTATCTTATACTCCAAATTTTATAACACCCTACTTGTCTACTTTTCATTCTAAACTTAGCTTGATAAAACACTTAAATGTAAAACACTAAAATGTACTCTAAGGATTATGCTACTATTACACCAAGCTGGGCCTCAATGAAATGGGAGGATTCTGAGAATAACAACAGTGAAAATTCTTCAATACCTGACGGGGACCTATGACTTTTATTAGAAAAATTATCATGATTTTCTCTTTCACATTATAATTTTTATCTATTTAACTTCCCAATCAAACTACATGCCTTTTGAGGGTATTAACTCCTACTTGCATTTGTGTCCTCACCATATGGCACCATGCCTGGTACACAGATGGTCCTCAAAAAAAATTTTTTTTTTTTTTAGTATTTGCTGAATCAATGAACTAATGGGATTGTTTTAATTTAGTTGTTTTTTTTGCCTATTTAACCTTTCTACCTTCCTAACTATACTGATAAGTATTGTGAGACTTAGGATGTTTTAGGAATAACATTCTGTTCACATCTCCTATACATCTACTTATACTCTTTAATATGTTGCCTGTTCTTTACTCTCCATCATTAGGTTATAAATTGGTTTGAATTGGTTTCCAGGAATTTTATTACACTGAGATCATTCATCCATAGTTCTCCTGCTTCAAAAGACAAGAGACGTACCAATGATGTCTCCTTTCCTACTCTTTAACTACAGAGAAGAAACAGAATGGAGCTGCAACAAATCACAGAAGGCATCATACAACTATGATGACTATATAGACACTGCTTAGCCACAAAAGATATGAGATTCAATTCTGTAGCTTTCTTAGAAGTTGGTTCAATTTAACCAGCATACTACTGTGGGGATAAATGAAAAAGAAAGAACAGGAAAAAGGAAGGAAGGATTTTGTGAAGAGAAGCACTGAAACAAAGTAGTATTCCAAACCATACATCACAATAGTAAAAATATCATATTAAGCAATGCCAAGATTAAAGAGACTCATTCATTAAAAATAACATCAATTATTACTTTCTAAAAATGTTAAAACTAAAATTAATCACCAATCCGATTCCATAACAACCATGTCCTTAGTAATTAGTTTGAAAATGCTGTTGGTAATAAGCAATGGGAGGAATTAGAAGGGTCTATAAAGTTACTGTTCATTCTAGCACCGTTTTCTTTTCTTTGTTGGTGCTGAGAATCAAACTTAATAGAACATATTAAGTACATGTTCTACCACTGTGCTACACCCACCATCCCCCCAAAAAACATTTTCTTGCTTCACACTCTAACCCCAAAATTTCAAGCATCTGTAACAGAGGTAAATGAGGAATACAAAATTTCCAAATTTGGTCACTGAAATAATAGTATATAAATCAACAACGAGAAAGAAAGGCAGAGAAAAGGAAGGTTAGGTGGTAAGAATGAGCTATGAAAGCATTAACAGCTCATCTTGGCAATACTGTTACTGCGAATGG